CATCTGAACAAATATCTTACGGTGAAAATACTGTTTTAAGAAAATCAAAAATCAGTAGGTCCTCTGGATGGTTCTTCTTTAATGAAACGTTTCGTCTCTCCTCCAAGAGACTTCTTCAGTCTGACAGTTTCAGGTGAAACTTATTGTTAGTCGATGGCCCTCTTTTGCATGTGACTAACCTGTTTGTCCAGGTGGAGGCGGAGCTTATAAGGCTGAGTTCACCTGAAACTCATCAGACTGAAGAAGTCTCTTGGAGGAGAGACGAAACGTTTCATTAAAGAAGAACCATCCAGAGGAACTACTGATTTTTTCTTTTTGATTTTCATTATAATTTTCACTGTTTTTGACTTGTGGAAAAAGATTTGAATCAATCATATGATCACCATTATATATTTTAAACTCTGAGTCTTCATGTGTGGTCGTTTTTCTTATCGTCTGTGTCTATCAAACTTTAAGATGTTTCAGTTATTTTATGTATGATTTGTAACCTCCTGGACTTATCTCAATTTTTGCTCGTTAATAATTTCAGCCTGAGATCTTGTTTTTACTCTGATCCATATGTTTCTGTTTCACGTCCATGTTGCTATGATTTTTTTTTTGTTTTTTCAACAACCTTGTCTCACGTGCAATGCTTCCATTTATTTTAGCTGTTCATTTATTAACACTTAGTGCAGCAAGATGTAAAGCAAATTTTATTTAAAAAATAAGTTGAAAATGATGAAATGCTAAATATTATTAGTGCTAATAAAATGACACTGTTTCAGGTCTTGGCCCGTTCACATGCTGTCCCGCCTACACAGCCTCCAAGTTTGGAGTGGTGGGTTTCACCAGAGCCATGGCGGTGAGGAAACTTTTCTTCTCTACAAAAACCAAAACCAGGATGTGCTGCAGAAATGTTTCAGATAATGAGACGCATGAAGGGAAACTGAGCAACTCGTGTTAGAAAAACCTGATAGGTTTTAACTGTCTTGTCCTGCTGTTACAGCTTTTAGTGAGTATAATAATAATGAGAATAATTCTTTACCAGTAAATGTGTGTTTACCTTCAGAGCCATGAGGCTTCCAAAGAAAAGGGAAGGACAGGTTTTGTTCAGATCAAGTGATTGATCTTGGTAATCCTGTTAATAATAGAGGTGTTACACTCATTTTTACTGAGGACACATGAGGGCTATGGTGGTCCTAAAAATGGGCCAGCTGTAATTAATGTTGACGTTTCCTGTTTACCTTCAACTAAACAAAAAAACAGCATTCCTCGGCTCGTTGCTACAGCCACTAACAAACAATAACTGAGCTCTACGTGGTATTTCCTGCATAGAAACAGCATTTTAACATGTCTTCTAATGAGCACTGAAAAGTACTACATAAGACTGATTAAATCTAACATAAATAATACAGAAATACTATTAAAAGTAAAAGTGTGTTTTACTGTGAGGGTTGTTCCAGTTCAAATTTACAGTTTGTAAGTGGAGACTTTGCCACAGCTTGGCTGCAGCAGAAGTAACTGGAAAAAATAAAGCATAATGGAGATTTTACACAGTAAATTTTGCAGATGGCTTCTTTTGAACCCTGTGCACCTCCACCAGGTGATGGGATGCTGTATTTATTGCAGGGACAATAATCAACATGCATTATGGGAGATGAGATGTAGCTTAGGGTCAATGCTGCCTTTTAAAGAAACACTCATAATTTAAATGCATAAAGACGTTTTTTGAAGCTTTGGCAGGCCACAAAATGCAGTGGTGTGGGCCACATTTGGCCTGTGAGCCTTGAGTTTAACCRTCCACCATCCAAGGYGGTTCATACCAAAACCTCCTCCTCWRTAAGCACYGTAACCATAACAACACCKGCATCTTGATTATATCTTAAACCTGCATTAAGGGATTAATAAAGCTGAACCCTTCCACCCCCCACACCACCCCAATCTAAAACGTCCATCCATCCATCCATCCATCCATCCATCCATCCATCCATCCATTTTCTTCCACCTATCCGGGGTCGGGTCGCGGGGGCAGCAGCTTCAGAAGGGAGGCCCAG